TACGCCCTCACACCGACGGGGCGCGTGCGGAGGCCAGACATTGCGCTGCTGTGCCAGTGGATCGTGGATGCGTGGGGGGCGATTCCGGCCGACATGGTGCGCAAGAGTTTCAAAAAGTGCGCCATCAGCAATTGCTTGGATGGCACCGAAGATGATTGCGTCTTCGAGAGCGGCGACGAAGCCTCGGATGGCAGCAGCGACAGCGGCGAGTCGGGCGATGATTGAAGGAACGGGAATCGGCGCCGTCAACGTTGCGGCGATCGCTTCGAAATAAAGTTCTTTTGTAAACGAGATTGTGACTGTGACTTCCCAAAACAGTTTTTTTTAAGCTAAGCATGCGGGTTATACGCGAGGATTTTTTTTCTTTTTTCGGGGAGTTCAAAGTTAGGGGAGCGGGTTATATGCGAGGGCGGGTTATATGCGAGAAAATACGGTATATAACAACACATTACCAATACCACATGTGCACACAGCTCCAACTACTACGTCCCCAACAATATCGAATAATAGTAGCAGCATAAAATATTTCTTCACTATTTTTTGACAGTGCTCTAAAGATGGGCGTTGAAAATTTATACTTTTAAGATGGGACGTGCATCTCCCAGTAACTCAATAGATTAGAGGAACGATGACGCAGGAATTAACACCCGTAATTTTGAATGCATTGTGCGCGTGCTAATTTTTATGAAAAAAAATTGTTTACATACTTTTTTCGGCGCACTGCTTTAACACATTTCTGTCGTCTGCTTGTTTCGTACCATGTCGGTAGAATTTCACTGGTGGAGTCGACCTCTTCGTGTTTGCATGGTTATTGTGACAGTTGACGACGCAGCAATGTCACCCCCTTTTCTGTTGGGGTGACATCGCGGAACGAGGGACATTTCACGTGCAGCGCGTGCTTCGCAAATGCGTGGAAGCCATAGGGAGCGGAAGGGTCGGAAGACTCTACTGTTGTGCGCTTTTTCGAACTGCCGCTACTCTAAGCACGGGCGCCGGCCGCCATTGTGGATACTTCCAAAATTGCACAAAGCCTTCCTCTTTCGACAGCTACGTCAGTCGGTTTCGTATTTACGTGTGAAAATATAATAAAAACGTTTTTCCACGCGTCTTCCGAGCGCTCCCGCTGTCACGTGACGTGAAACCAAGACTGCCATTGGCTACCGCCATGCTGTCAGAGCCACTCCAGCAGTTTCGTGTCCGCTCACATCGCATCGCCACTTAGGACTAGTCTAGTCAGCGTTGTTTTCTGCTCTACGTTTTCCGTGATGAATGACGAAAATAAGCGTAACTTTCCCCTCCTCAAGTACCCGACAACGTGCCCATACAAGGGGAAGCGAAAACAGAAGCAAAGAAAAGCCACAAGTGCGGTGGATCCCTAGGAGGGCAGGACAGGCAAGCGCCAGGCAAGTGCGTCTGATTTTATCAGCAACCCATTCAACTTCCTGAGCGCCTCAGAGAGGTTGGCAGCGTTCCAAGATGAAGAGATTGCTGACCGCGGACCAGCGCAGGCGTGGTTATCTGTGAAATTGAAGCGCTGACCGGCTCATGAGCAGTGCCGGGTGGGGAACGTGCGGGAAATGCGAACTTGTGGTGGTGGAGGTCGCAAGCAAGCGCAAGGGCCTTGCTTCCCTTCTAGAGCTCCGTTGCACAAACGGGGTGTGCCCAGCAGCAGCAGTTTCGGCTGTGTATTCGTCAGAACGCACTGGTGCCAATGGCTGTGAAGGGTCTGACGCGGAGCGGTGCTGTGGAAGCCCTTGCGATAGTTTCGCCATCAATGTGAAAGTAGTGCTTGCTGCGCGTTCGATTGGTGTCGGACACAACCAGCTGACAAGGTTTTGTGGCATTCTTGGCTTACCAAAGCCACTTCACCATAAGACATTTTACAACATTGCCAAGAAAGTGCACACTGCTGCCACCAAAGCAGCCTCAGACAACCTAGCAGAAGCAAGACAAATAACCGCACTACAAACTGATCAGACTGATGTTGCTGTCATGTTTGATGGGACTTGGCAGAAGCGCGGGCACAAGAGCCACAATGGTGTTGGCACTGCAATTTCGTTGGACACTGGCCTCTGTCTGGACCATGAAGTGTTGGCAAACTACTGCCAAGGCTGTAGCAGCCACAAAGCCCTTGACAACGAAGAGGAAGAAGTATGGCAGGCCTTCCATTCTCCTGTGTGTGAAAAAAATGTGGACTGCACATCACATGCCATGGAAACACAAGCTGCACTACGCATCTGGAGCAGGACGCAGTCCTATAACATGCAGTTCACCACATTTCTGAGCGACGGCGACAGCAAGGCATATGCTGCAGTCTGTGAAGCACAGGTTTATGGGTCGAAGGCAGTGACGAAAGAAGACTGCACAAACCATGTTGCCAAACGTCTTGGTGCTGCGCTTAGAAAGCTGAAAACACCACTGCCCCGTGGGCAGAAGCTCAGTGACAAGACCATTCAAAGGCTGCAGAACTATTATCAGATCGCAATAACCAGCAATCGGGGCAGCGTAAGAGGCATGTTCTGTGCAATTTGGGCCTCTTATTTCCATTCGTGCTCCAGCAATAAGGCAAACAGCCACAAGTTTTGCCCCGATGGGAAAGAGTCATGGTGCAAACAAAAGAGAGCCCTAGCTCTGGGAGAACCTGCTCCTGAACACACACCCCTCCTGACCAAAGCACAAGGCAAAGCACTGCTGCCAACTTATAAACGTTTGACAGATGCCAAACTGCTTGCCCACTGTTTGCAAGGGAAGACACAAAACGCCGCTGAATCCTTGAATGGCAAGATTTGGATGTTGTGTCCGAAGAGTCGTTTCGCATCACGCACTGCAGTGGAGACTGCCACCGCCATTGCAGCGCTGTGGTTCAACAGGGGCCACTCCAGCTTCGAAAAAGTGCTGGAAGAACTGGGAATCCTTCCTTCAAAGCAGATGGTCAGACTCAGCCTGGAAAGTGATCAGCAAAGAATCCGGAAGATGTCTGTGAAGCTGACTGCTGAAGCCAAGTCCCATCGCCGCAGCCAGGTGAAACGAGCCCGTACCGAGGACTCTGTTCGCAAGAACCGTGAGGGCGAAACTTATGCAGCAGGAGTGTTCTAGTGTTCCAAGTCTAGTAATAGACATGTTGAAGTACATTTACACCAAGTTTGATTTAATTTCAGCAAGAATTTCGGCATCCAATGTTCAAATAAACTTTCATTTGAGTTTTTCTCAAATTGGTGTTCTTGCTCATTTTTTAAGTTTGTGCACACAATTTTTGCCTCTTCTACTTCTTGGATCCCAATGAAATTTTGCACAGATGTTTTTTGGGGTGCATAGAGTGCGGAAATCTTGTTTATATGTCTAGTCTCACAACATATTTATTATAGTTCGAAAACAGAATGCCAACAGACAAAAGAGAATGACACCCTAATTTTCATCAATTTTTTTGTTAATAAGAAAATGCAGATAAAATTATTTCACCTAGATATTAGCATTTTGTGGCTTGTAATGAACTACCGAGTGTGTTTTAAAATGCTCTGGCATAATAATTACTAAGCAAAATTGTGTGCACAAGAAAGGCATTATTTCACACTAAAATATATTGCCACTCGCCATATATTAAATAAAATATATTGCACTCGCCATATTTAGGAAAACTTTCATGCAGATCCGAGCACTACAAGTGCTCGAAAAAGGAGGGGCACATTGAAAAAAATGGCAAAATTTGTGTTTTGAGAAAAAAGAGTTTTTAAGTTAAAATTGAGTTTTTATTTATGAAAGATATTAAATTTGACTAAATTTGTACACCAATAAGAAATATCTTTCTTGTAGTGGCCACTACGATTAAAATACGCCAGCTTCATGAGCTTGTCCCTCTCGGCTTTTTCGAGCCGACTCCTCACAGACATCTTGCTCTCAGACGGGGCCATGAGACGGTTGCCAAACTTCCGCTACATCTGGCAGAGCCTTGTGCCAAGTGCAAGCTAGGAAGAAGTTCGGCAGGACTGCAAAATCCAAACCAAGTCCAGAGTCATGCCATTTTGCGGCCATGTTTATGCCACATACCGTCGTACATAAGGGCAATGTCGTCCCTGCTAAATTCTCTCACTGCGAGCTCTTTCGATCTCGCAAGATTGGTGCTGACCTCATCCACTGCCGCATCATGAACTTTCTGGCTGACGGGTGTGAATGACTTTTGATGCATTGGTTTTTGCAAGCCAACAACTGCCGCAAATCGGACCAGCTGCTCATAGCCTATTCATACAGAGCGTGCCGCACAACGGCTTTCACTTGCAAGTGATTTTTTTTTTTTTTCATTTATAATGGAGATAATTACACAAGAAAAGCATTGTTCAGCTGCGCTGCTCAACAAGACATAAACCCCGCAAATAGGTTTCACAGCACATACAGGCGCGCACCGTCCAATGGCGGTCCCCGATTCGTACCACGTGATAAGCCAGTCGCGGCGCTCGAAAAACTTTTTATTATTTCTTGTGCTGCATCAGCAAGGGAAACTTGTTGCTTGAAGAGTGAGACTCGAATCTTCGACTCATGCGATGAACAATGGCAAGCGGCGGCGCATTATCGGTGGCAAGGTGCTCGAAGACTGCACACTTTGGACCTTTTAACAGGCACCTTGTGCTCTTTAGATGCAATTTTGAAGCATTTCCAGTTAAGTCTCGACCTGTATTTTTTTTTTTTTTTTTCATAACAGCAGAGGTACTAATCTTATCAAAACAGGCAAAAATAAATCGGTAATTTTGAAAAAAACTTGCGTTTTTCGACCCGCATCTCCCCTTAAGGTGAATATTTTATTGAAAATATCTCGACTTATATTCCTGTTTATACGGTACATAATGTTGGGAATGCTTAAACACCACCATTAACCACTGAATCCCGGATTTGCCATACCCAAAGGCACAGCCTTTGATGTTGGTACATTCACGTGAACACAGTGAGAAAATGCTACAATTTCATACAAGCCAATGCTCGAAAATGAAAACCATTCTCTAGACGCTCACCTGCTCCTGAAGCTGTTGCAGCTTCCGTTCCCGCTCTTCATCACTGTCCTCAGAGTCACTTGAGGAGGAGCTCGCACTCGAGGATGACCGCGAGCTGGAGCTGCTCTCAGAGTCAACCCGGTCAGCATGCGACACAGGCTGGGGCTCACTTGGCGGTGGCTCGTCTGGCATCTTGGCGTACCTCATCTCAAAAACATCCTGCAAGAAACAAGAAGAGGCCACTTAGACACCTGCTACCAGCAGCACTTAGTAGCACTCATTAGCTACCTGCAGCTTCCTCGCCATGGCAACCACCTCATGGTCAGGAGGGTTGTACTTGTAGCAGTTGGTAAATATTAACCGCACATCACCAGCAAACTCCTCTGGGCTTTTGTACTCCCGGTTGTCCATCTTTTGCTGCACAGAAGCGTTGTTGTACGTGTGCGCCAGTCACACAGACTGACTAACTCTACCTTGACTGTGCCCAGATCCATGGGGTGCTTGATGATCTCATGATAGTCGTGTAGTCCCAGCAACTCTGCATCCACTGGTTTGTAGAAGGGCCATGCATAGCCCTATGATGTGAAGGGGGAACCAGCCATTGTAGAGAGGCTCTTACACATGATCAACGATTTCAAGAAGGGCCTCAGGAACACGCACGCAGGACGCATGTCCCTCAAACCATATGCTGGCTCGTATTTTTGGGTCTTTTGTTACGGCAAGGTGTATGCACTTGTGCCAACACAGGTGGCAGAAAATGGCAGGAGCCATTGATTGATGCCCGTTGATGGTTCTCTGATGACAAGCACCCACATGTTCCCGCTTGCGTGTTCATGCAACCCTCTCTCTTCCCCCCAGAGGTCTGCACGGGTGGGCGCACAGAGGACAGAGGGAAGAAGAGGGCCACAACCCGAGCAGAGCAACAACGGAAGGGTAACTCACGGGCCTGGGCTGCTGCGCCCGGCGTGGACGTCTCGCATTCAGGCTCGGCCCCTTCAAGAACAATGCCCCCGTGCAGACCTCCGGTTAGAACCCATCATGGAATGACAATAACAACACACACTCAGCACACACAAAGGGGGCCAACAAGACGATACTCACAGCATGCTTCTTGGCAAACAACTCCTTCAGGATGCTGTTGCAATACTTCATCTGTTCAGTGAGCTTGCCCTTCTTGGGCTTGGAACTGTGCTGCTGCGTGTCGGGCAGGTCCTTGCTGGGCTTCTTGATGGGCCGCCCACTCTCACGCCGCGTCGACACCTTCTTGGCCTCGGGGGGAGCCCCACCATACGCGCCAGGCTCCAGGGGAAGCGGTGTGGTGGTGTCCGCTTTTCTCTTCACACCTTTTTTCACCTGCACATGTCATCAAAGGCACACCTTACACGAATATATCAACTGCAGAGATCCTTTCTTCATCACGAGTATTTAGAATGCCCCACTGGTGGGCCAAATAGTGCTCTTCAGTTGCTTTCATTTCTGAACTGGTTAAGTGCTGCTACAGATATTACTGACATATGAGATTCTAAAGTGTCAACCTTTCACTTTAGCATCAACTGTTGTGAGCCTTTAGTGTCCCTTGAAGATGTGACCGCACATGTCTGGGCATGCCGGTTACCAGAGAAAGATACCACTAGATACCATTGTATCACAGAGACCTTTTTGGCACTCCCTACATGGCTTTATCAGAATGGTGCAGTAATAGCCCGGTGGTACAGACAAATTTGGCGTCATTTTTGGCGAGTGCTTTTACGCTTTCAGAAGGTCACTTTGGTGATGTACTGTTACACAAGGAAGACTAGTGTACTTTGGTAATAATTGTAATAGAAATAATGCGTCAGCTATAGGCAACTATTACAATAGATACAAATGCGGCTTGTGTGACCTTTGCAGAGCGTGCCCCTGGCGGCCACGGCTGTACACTGCCCGGGAGCAAGAATAGCAAAGTAGTTTTTACTCGTATAATATGTTTCAAAGCACAGGAATATTTCTAATAACGATAACAATAATCTAAGAAATACTACGAACAGCGACTTTCGATAATGACCAATCTATTCTCGAGCCACTGCTACCAAGGCTGCACACTCCGTCACAACGAAGAGCTTGTGGGAGTTGAGGCTGGCCCGCTGCCTTTGCGCAGGCTTTCCCGCCTTTTCTGCCATTCTCATGTCCCGACATGTCTGCTCTCCTGTGCTGTCTGCCGTGGTGGGTGAGCGGAGTGACGTTTAACTCTCTCACCCGGAAGCGGTTGTTGACTGTGGCGCCGCGCGCGGGGACTCGCAAGAGGTTTTCGCGCGCTGCGTCGGGAGCGGTGAGATACTCTCCGGGACAGCAAACGGTGAGCCACGCAATCTTTTCCGTCCGTCGACTCCCGTCGTTCGGGGGCTCGTCGGACTTCGCCGACGGCTCCTCGCGCCCGAGGCGAACACTCACCTTTTGTTGCCCCGCTGCGTACTCACGGCCGAAGGGCAGTACGGTGTCCTAGTGCGTGGCCTAGCTACGCCGACCCGTCTCCCTCCGAAGCCAACGCGAGCGCCTTTGCCCTCGCTCGAGCAACCGGGCCCTTTGTCCCGGTGTCTCCGTGAATCACCTTTACCGCGGAGACGTGCTCGTGGCACCCTGTGTAGTACTTTGTGCCCGTGGCGTGGATAAGCCTACTTGCTTTCCCGCCGCGCCTTTTTGCAACGGGCTGTACTGCGTTTGGTGTTGCCACAATAAAGTGTTGCGACTTGAGCAGTATCGTGTTCTCGCCACGGCGATGGTTAACGCGTGCCCTGCGGCTCGCTAAGACCGGACCCACGCTGGTGGCCGTACTCCTTCGGGATACGTGTACACCACAAGTTTGACGAACGCACTTGCCGGCAAACTACACAATCAGCGAAGTGCACTCCCTCAAATCACTGCGTTAGCCGCATGCCCTCGGAGCTCATAGATCGCTATCGGGTCGCCATGACCGCGGTTTCGGGCATGGCAGTTGTGACAAAGGGTAGCTGTTTTCAACCCGTGTACGCTAGTTGCGCCTGTGCCTTCAGAACGAAGTTGTTTTATGCCATCTATGATCGCTCTGCCACAGTTTTTGTCCACAGAGTTTGTGAAAAACAGCATTGCTTTGACTGGTAGAGAGTTTGACGCGCACACTCTTTTGGAGTTCTCTCAGTTACGTCGTCACCATACATGATCGTGTCAAGAACAACCGCGGTTGGCAACAACAACCACATGCTTGTCTTCTGTGCTGGACGTACGCATACTACCGAAGCTTCAAGTACGCTGTTCTTGGCCTTCGTTCAACGGTTTCGGTACTAAAGTTCACATCACCCGCCGCGATCAGGAAAAGTGTTTGAAACATTCAAATTTTGGCCAAATGGACACAGTGACATTTGGCTGACGAATATCACAAATTCGTATCTGCCGCAGTTCGCAAAAAGCCTGAAGCGGATTGACCATTTTTGTCAATAGGGTCAGATCATGCAGAGAAATTTTTATTTCCGGGAGATTTTCATGACAACCATACAAAAGGAAGAAACAGTCGAAATCCGGGCCACTTGGCAGGTATGCGAAAGTCTCCGGGCCAATGCGGGAGACTTGGCAGTTATGGAAGTGCAGCCTCGTGAAATCGAACAATCAGTGCACAATCTAGGTGGCCTGAAACGTAATCAGCCAAGTTTCACGATGGCGGCTTCTTATTGTAGCTCTTTTTTCGCGTTCATTTCCCCAGTAATGTCGTTTTGTCGATATTTTTTTAAAATTTGAAGGCATACTGCATCGCATGCTTCTATTCTTGGAACTTTTGAGACTGCACACTCAAGACGTTTTGCACTAGTGTAGCCTATCGAGAAGGTTGTTTCATCTGTAGTGCAGATTTTTGAGACTTTGGAGACATATACTTTACTATATATGCTGTAGTTGGAAATAATGCTTTTAGGAAATTTTACTCCGCTTGATAGGCACACCCCAAACTTGGAGCGAGATTTCCTGGGAAGAAAAAGAGAAAAAAAGTGAGCAGATTATGTGAGTAAATACGGTACTATATTTACAAGAGACCAATATCCTTTTCGCTATGGAGGTCTGTTAACATGAGGTTACACTGTATACCTAAAACAATCTTCAAGGGCTGTCACTTGTGAAAAACGTGTGGAGCATGCAGCCTCATGTGTGCGAGAATCGAAGCATGCGATGCGTGGTGCTTACAACCATTTAAATTTCTGAAGGTTAACAAAATTCAACGCTCAAAAACCCACGTTGCCAATGAAACCGAACGCAAAAGGGGTGCAATAAAACAAAGCACCATAGTGGAAATTCGTAGACTATTTCTCAAACCGCCTCGATTATACACATTACAGAAAACTATGTTGAATCGCGTCCGAAATTTCATGCGCTGAATGACACCAATCGTTTTGATTTCACAGGCACCCACCAAATTTCAAGTCATCGCCATCGAATCCCGAACCACCATTCAAGCACTACACATGCAAATAACGTTTTCATTAAAGATATCTACCCCTTCCCTTCAAGTGCAGCCACTGCAATGAGCAACCACCGCAATGAGTTTCCTTGATTCTGTACCAAACCAACTGCTACCAGAATGCACCAACGCTGATTAGGCCTAGCCTGCCGTTCAGCATTGTTATTGAGAAAAGTTTGTCAAAAACGACATGAAAATCGGCCGTCGAGAAAGTCACACTGAAGCACTGCATGCGCGATACGAAGTTTGCGTACGCAGCTGGGAGATAAACGACTAAAACGCGCCAAGCTTATATGCAAGAGTGCGCACTGGCAGCAAACAAGGATTCTCGCGTCATAACGCCGCAAAAGATTTGAAATTTATGGGCGAGGTAGTAAATACGATATATGTAGCAAGCTCAATAACGACGATGCTTTTTTTAACAGGAAAGTACAGTTGCTAAGGACACAAGATGGCACAAGTCATGTTGAACAACGCAAGGCCAGCAGCAAGCGGCTGGAGCCACACTAGTGACGCCAGCACACTGTAGCGGTGTCGGCACCGGTGCCAAAGCTTATCCCTTGCTTAAGCAATTACCTTCTTCCCTTGATCCAAGAGCACGTGCAGCGAGCAAAGTTATTTTTTTTTCCTCCCTACTCGCTTCGTTCCTTCACTTCGTGTCCCTTGCTCCTCCATGCTCGTTGTTTTGCTCCCCAGTAGCGCCCACAACGTGCCTCCTCTTAGACGCACACTCGCAACTCACCCAATTTCAGACCACCCTCGCTACTCACTACAATTTTTAAAAAATTCAGTTAATATGGACATTTTCTTCGGTCTTATGAAGCGTTCTATCAGACCAACGCCCATTTTTAGCCACACATGGTCTAATGCCACACCTGGCCAGCATACTACAGTGTACTAGAATATCATTAAAAGGGAATGTCTACCTACCACTTGAAAAAATTTTTTTGATATTGGTGCAAATGAGAAGATCGTTCACATTAGCAGCAACCAGCACGCTTTTGTCCCATAAAAAAAATTATCATTTTCATTTAATGTTCATGGCCGACAAAAAATGACCACTAGTGTCACCCAACAGCAATGTGGTCGATATACTGGTAGGACAATAAATCCTTGCAGGTAGGCTTATTTTGCTTAAAAATAAACGTGCAACTAGAAATGGTATTTTACGCACTTGAGGCAGTTTTAGGTTGCTCCAAAGACTAATTTTTGCTTTTCTTTTTGTCACACGTTCAAATAGGCGCCCGGTGACGCTGCCAGCGGTGCGATCGCTTTTTTTTAGCAGTAAAACTTACAAGACGTTTCACTTCATAAGGCATTATTTTAGCACCACTATACCCAGCTAACTTCAGCAAGAAATGCTTCTTGTGCGAGTCATGCAGTCACACGCGAGTCACAGGCTCCGAATGTAGCCTATACCTTGGGCTTGAAAAGGGTCACCCGAGCCAAACTCTGAACAAGACAAAAGCCCAAAGAACGCATTTATCACGTTCAAGTCCACGAGGATACTGTATTAACTCTCATAGTTTGTGTCATCACATAATTTTCGCACCCCTAATATTTTGTGAGCTTTAAGCAAAACAATTATTTACTCGAATCTTTCCCACTCCCCGACCCAGCAGAGCCAGTTCAGTAGGGTACACACGAAGAGACCGTGGATCGTTGAATTCTTTGGACGGGCGCGCCAGGCACACACCCTGCCATGGAACTCAGAGTGCCAAAATGCACGCAAGCAGCAAAACAAAGCATGGAGGGTGCTTTGGAACTCACCGAGCAAGAGTCGTCAAACAAGCTGCTTTTTGCGAGTGCGAAGATGCCTCTTCCGTAGACTTCCCCCCAACTAGGGTCCCTAGAATACCATGCACAAGTACTCAAACATATGGACGGGTTGCTG